AAGTTTTTAAAAAATAAAAGAAGATAAATATTATAATTTAGAGGGTAAAATAGGTATTTGGCAATCCAAAATTTGGAAAATCTAGTTGAGTTACATTCTGAGTGCAATAGGCATAGTTCAGCGATTTTGTTGTTACAAACGAAAAAAAAAGTAACTTTAGAAGATAATTTGGGATAGTTGAATGACTATTTGAGTAATGGATTCTTAAACTAATGAGTTTAAATTCTGTGTAAAAGATAATTAAACAATTAAGTCACTTAAAAGTAATTGCAAATAATTCTATCTAATAGCATTAATTGGTAACCCTAATAGGTATAGTCTGCCATTTGTTTCGCCAAACAATATGCTTGTTACAATTATCGGTGCCAGTGGTACAAGCATTCAGGCGACCTATGTGTTGATTTTCCTCATATTTGCCCCAAGCTGGAAAGAGAAGGCCAAGATCTCTGGGATTCTATTTCTTCTCTTTCTCATCTTCTCAACTGTGGCTCTAGTTTCCATATTGGCACTCCATGGCCATAAAAGGAAGCTTTTTTGCGGCTTAGTTTCTGCAATTGTGGGCATCTCTATGTATGGTTCTCCTCTCACTATAATGGTAAGTTTTTTTTTTTTTTTTGCAAAAGATATATAATGGTTTTGCTAATTGATGTGTCGTAGCAAAATACAGGGCGGTCTTAGTCAGGGGCGGAGCTAGAGTGCCGGGAGCTGGTCCGGTCGAACCCAATAGCTTTGATTCGAACCTTGTTTTTGTTTTAAAAATCAATTGGGTATGTATAAATTATTAATTTAGAATCCAGTAATTTAAAATGATTAGAGTTCCGAACCCATAAGCTTTAAATCCTGGCTCCGCCTCTGGTTTTACTCTCCATGACTGTTTGCCTACACAGCTGCGGAGACAGACAAATTAGGGACTCCGATCTTTCTGTTAGATTAACATCGGATAATGCTATAGTATGACAGCGGATGAAAATTTTTATTTTGTGTCTCACACAACTAGCAATAGTTGTGTGAGGCCTCTTTTATGTCTCACAACTGTGTGGTCCCAGAATTTTGTGGATCCAAATGTGTAAGAGATGGGTCCACAAATATGTGAGATAAAAAGAGGCCCCACACAACTAGTGTAAGTTGTGTGAGACACAAAATAAAATTACTCGATAGCGGATTATAACTTGCTATTAAAACACAGTAATTTATCATGCTTGTATAAACATGGGCTTACAACTGACTCCTATTGAAAGTGAATGTCAAATAATTAACATTAGAAAACTACACCACTTTATCTTTTTATTGTTTTGGCTTAAGTTTTGCTAATTTTAAATTTGATGATCATAATATTTAGCCATGGGCATTTCAACCTTTTTGCTTTTATTAACATGACTTTAACTCGGTGGTGACCAACCTAAATGGCGCAAATTCCTCCCAATTAAAAACCACCTTTACAAAAAACATATTCCATGATGTCCTAATTAAATTAAGTGTCGTATTCATATTGTGAAAACCTTTCTGTTAAATTATTTCGTATCTTACCTCCTTTCTCTTCTAATTAAAGGAGAGAAACTAAGACTGAACTATATATCTAATTCAAATTTTACCGTTTGATGTTGTTTCTGTTTTTATCTTTTTCCTCCTTTGTTAGAGGCTGGTGATCAAAACTAAAAGCGTGGAGTACATGCCATTATTCTTGTCAATATTTGTTTTCACATGCAGTATCACATGGTTAGTCTACGGATTGCTTGGAGCGGACCCTTTTATTTATGTAAGTAGGTTTAATTTGTGACACATTCCATATAAATTAGTCTTGGACCAGATTTCTAGATTCTAAAACGATTATTTACTTGAATCTTAGTATATTTCAAATAGCAAGAGAATTATTACCTAGGGAATTAAATTGAAAATTTAAATTCGCGTTGAAAGAAAAAGTTGATACTATAGCTACTTAACTCAGTACTTAAAAATTTATTTTTGTTAGATATTTTATGTTAAGAAGTTTTCTTAATCTCACGACATTATATATTGTTGTCTTAGGTACCAAACGTGGTCGGAGCTTTGTTAGGATTAGTGCAACTAATTTTATATGCAGTTTATCGTGATAAAAAACAGGAAGTGAAGAAAGAAGCAGCAGATGAATCAGTAAAGATGGAGCTTGAATATCCCAATGAAGAAAAGCTCACTGACGCACAAAATCAGAATGCAACCGTACATTAATTTGCGTCAATTTTTCTCTCAACGTAAGGGACAAATTCTAATTTAGTGATTATCTACATATGTAACTTAATTTTCACTGAACTCCACTTGCCAAAACAATCATCAGCCGTACCTTGAATTCCGAAGGACAATTAATGTAATAACCTACACTCCTAAGAAAATTGTTATTCTATTTTGAACCTTAGAGCTGTTTGAGTTGCTAGTACTCTCTTCATCTAAAAATGAACATTTACTTGACTCTTGATGTCTATCAAATAGCAAGAGAATTAATACATATGAAATTAAATTGATAATTTAAATTCGCGTTGGAAAAAAAAAAGTTGATACTAGTTAACTCAATTAGAAATTAATTTTTTCAGATATGTTTGTTTAACCAAAAAGTAGAATTTCAGTCAAAGCTTATTTTAGAAGAACTCGGGTTACTGATAATCAAATAGAAATAAGAATAATGGATGTAAACAAAGGGTGAATAGAAAGCGAAGTAAATCAGTATATTCAATAGTCTTTTTTTCTTCCTTACAAATGATCAGTCTTCTCCTTTTTATAACTATTTCTAAGATATACGTTTTGCCTTTGTCATCATAAGGCCATTATAGACAATTAAAGGCATTTAATGCTACGTTATAAATGATAATCATTGTAATTCAATACAGATTCTATAACGTTTCCAGTAATTAATGCATATTAAATACTGTATCCATACTCTCTTTTGCTATCAGGTTCATTCTCTTAAACTTTTGAACTTAAATAGGTACGAGCGCCGAGTCTTTTGAATCTCTGCTCGTGTCTCTGCTCGCGTCTCTGCTCGTGTCTGTTGCAACTCGTGCCTCTTTGCTGATCATCATTCTTTGACCAGTCTACGTGTCATGACATGTCATCTTTCAATCACTTCAATATATATAAACTCAATTTTTCTCAATACAGATAGTCCCCCCACTTGCCATTTATTCACCAATTGAATTTTTGGGAAGTTGATTTTATTAAAGCGGGAATATTTGCCACCATTAATTCTCTTCTGGAATCGACGCTTCATTTGTCACTTCTATTTAATGCCTATTACACGTGGCATCTTCTGATTGGTTCTGCGACTTTGCAGCGTCTTTTAAGGCTTTTTTACGGCTTCACCAATTACGAAACGACAGTTCTCATTATGACTTTTCCATCATTGCACCTTTTCCTTTGATGGTTGCTTCTAAGTATAAATATAGTTTTTACCTTTGTCTTTCTCACATAAAGTTCCCAGAATATTCAATTCTTGTTTGCTTCTTCCTCGTACTACTATGTCTTCATCAAACCCTAACCCTAGGAGAGTCCCCATTGTCGATAACCTTCCTCTTGCCCCTAGTAGGAGCAGAAGAGGAGGTAGACTTCGTAATTTAGGGTCTTCATCCACACGTGGTTCTTCTCTTCCTTCATCTAGTTCTAGTCCATCTTCTAGAACCAGAGGCTCCCTTTCTCAAAGGTCTTCGTCTAGAAGTAAAGAACCTCTGAGCCCCTTCGTGAACCCACTGTAGATGAGATTGTACCCGTTGAACTATCTTTATATAATGATAGAGAATCTCTCAGAAACCAACTGTCTTCATTAGAACGCGCTGACATCTACCCAACTCAGATTACTGAAGGTCTGATTTCTTTAGTTCGTGAAGATTGCCATTGGATCCATGACTTCCCTATTATAGTTCCAAATGCGAACCAAAGAATTACCTCTTATTTAATTGGATTTTCTTTTGTTTATACATATCCTTTCACGTTGGATTTTAAACCTGTTATTTACCTTGTTATCCTCGAATTCTGTCATTTTTTTTACGTTTGTTTAGGACAAATTGGCCCTATTGTGTGGAGGGCTGTTGCTTGTTTGAGACACTTAACCAACATGGCGGGTGTGGCTTTTACTCTATCCCATTTAATTCACCTTTACTCTCTCAGACTCTTTCGCCAAGGAGTTTTTACTTTAGTAGCAAGAAGCAAAAGAGTTCTGGTTAATCCAGAAGACGATAAGGACCGTGGCTGGTATCCCAGGTTTGTTGCTGCCCCCACTGTTGGTTTAGTGGGTGAAGAAAACGTTCCCTTCCTTGAGAAGTGGAATTTTGCACGTGAGTTTTCTTTTTAATAACCTTCACATACTTTTTTCTCAATTCTGTTGATTGTCGTTTTAATTTCCTTCTCTTCTTTTTTTTTAGCAACCATGGGAATTGTCGATGAAATTCCCAATCTTCGTGGTTGGGTAGGAAAGTTGTTAAATGCTGCCCCGATGGAGGGTAGGTCTTGGAAAACTCTCTCTCTCTCAACGATTTGGTTGGAAAGTGAAAACTCACGGTAAAATTTTTTTTTATATCTTTTCTTATTGCTTCTTCCAGAATTTATTTTAATCCTTCTTTTTATCAGGATTTTCCATGCGAGGTATTACTGCTGAGGCTGTCGTAGCTTCCTGAATTTCTTTGGAAAGGGCCCAAGAAATAATTTTAGGCTCTTCATCGAAAAGGAAAGCTACTATCGATCAAGACTCTGAGGAGGAGGAAGAACAAGACGGGGGTTCTTTGATAAAAAGGCCACGAGCTAGGAGACGAATTATTTCAGATGATGAACCATCTCCCCCTCGTTCTACTCCTCACACCGAGCCTGTTGAAGCCTCGTTGGTGATTCCCGATGATGATACCCCCGCTGCCGCCCATGATTCTATTGAACAGCTTTTTACCCGCGGGTTTGGTAGTGAACGTTTGAAGTCAATTTCTGATGAAGCGCCCCTTACTTCTTTTCCTTTATCTGCTCCTACAATATCTTCTTTGCCTTTCGAGGCTGTTCCCGTTACTGCTTCTCCCCCAGCTATTTTGACTCCTTCTACTGCTCCTCCTCCAGCTGCTTTGACTTCTTCCACAGTTCCTCCCATAACTGTTCAACAAACTGAGGTTGGCTCCTCAAGTAGAAGTGGAGCCATGAGACAGGTTATCATCGAAGTCCCTGCCGATGGTAATCTTCTGAGGAAATCAGGAGAGCTGACGTGTGGTTGAAACCCCTAATTGGTCCAACAGAGAAGGCCAAGCTTGAGAGCCACAGTTCTTTAACTTTGATGAATGACATCATACAATCATCATTAAAGGTACTCCTTTTTAATGATTTACTATTCCTTTTTATAAGGTTCTCACCCTTTTTTCTTCTTTTCTCTCTCTCTCTCTCTCTCTTTTTTTTAGATCAACCTCGTTGGTACAGAAATGATGAAGGGGGTTTCTCACACGGAGCAGTTGATGCATGAGTACCAAGTTGAAGCAGATAACTGGAGGGAACAGTATGAGAGCCTCCAAATTGACATGGAAGCATAAGAAGAGAACAAGCGCACCTTAGAACAACAGCTGAGAAGTTTAACTTCGGAGTTGGTGGTTGAAATAGCTTCCTCAAATCAAGCTAGTAAAGATAAAAATCTCCTTGAAACTTCCTTTCCCGAGCAACTCTCCAAGGCTAATGGAGAAATCAGAGAGTTGAAGGCTCTCTTAAGTAACAAAAGAAGCTTATGCTGGTGAACTTGTGCAAACTTTGACTCAGACTCAAGAAGACCTCCGGGAATCTTCTGGTAAGGTTCGCTTTTTAGAAAGTTCACATGCTTCTCTTCAAATTTCTTATGATTCTGCCTTGGTTGAGAATGAGAAACTTAAAAGTGAAATTGCTGAGTGGGAAAAGGATTACGAGATTCTCGAGGATAAAACCGCAATTGAAGTGAGTTGGGCATTTTTAAATTCTCGCCATGATACCGCTGTAGAAGTTAGCCAAGAGAATTTTAACTTGGAGGCTGAGTTGGCTAAAATAAAAGAAACCATCGAAAAAACTCAGCAAGACCAAGACTTTTCTTGTCCCGAAACTTCTGAGAATATAGAAGATGATACAGGTACGGTGAGTGCTCCAATTCCTTCAAGTCAAGTTGAGCCTGCTGCTGCTGACGATCCTTCTTCAACTCTCTAGTGACAAGTTTATGATATATGACTCTCTCTTTTTTCTTTTTGGTGGTATGTGGTTGTAACCCTTGGTTGTTTTTAAGGGTTTGTTGAAAACGTTAAGTCCCCAGACCTTTTATGGGGCGCTTTGTATAAACAACTTTTGGTTTATGACTAAGTTCATACTTAGTCTAAACTTTTTTAATATTAAGAAGTTTGCTGTTTGAACTTCTGTTTTGTTTATTCTTACCTTTATATTTAAGGACTTACTGAATAACTTGCATTTTTATTTTGCAAAATGCCTTTTTTTAACTTCATGAATAATTGAATCAATCATGAATTTTATAAAAGAGGGTCCCTTTTATATTCGACACTTAATAGAAAAAGACGTCTAAACTTCATAATGGTGTACT